TGATCACAAGTCTCTGGATCTCCGACGTGCCTTCGTAGATTTCCGTGATACGTGCATCTCTGTAATAACGTTCCGCCGGCATGTCCGACACGTATCCCATCCCTCCTAGAATCTGTATGCACTGATGAGCGCAGAAGGTAGCAGTTTCCGATGCGGACAATTTGGCCATAGCGGCTTCCTAATGAATAAGAAATTACTTTGGCAATAAGTGAAGACTCAACAAAAGTCAGATTGCTGGTGGATGCGCAAAAATTTCAATATCTTTCGCATTCTCCTTAGTTTGCAAGTACATTTAGCAAAACAGTCGTAACGTACATTAATATAAATCTTAATATCTGCAATCTGACTCTTATTAGATCTTTTACTTGAAATTTTATGCTCGTTTATTCTTTCTGTGAAAATTATCTCATTTTTTTATTTAAAATAATTTTATTTTATCTACTATCCTACTGAATTGGATCCGAGAAAAGCTTAAATTATCGTAACTACTTCTGAAAATTTGTATGCATTCATGGAATCATGACAATTCGCCGTATTCGATAAGATATATAAAAATGTAATTAATAAAAAAATATATATCGAATAAGATTAAAGTCATATTATATATGCGATAAGGAACGTTACTTTGAGTAAACATTCTAATAGAATGAATTTATAAGAACCAATATTTATATTATTCTAAATATAACGCACCTTCGTGTACGGTTTACCGCTATCCTTCAGTTTAGCCGCTCGCCACGTCAATAACCTCGAGCTTTCTAATTTCAGAGCCATATCGGCAATCTTTTGTTGGATTGCCTGCAGCTTGATGATTGATTGATTAAAGGCTTGGCGTTTAGTCGCGTAATCTATTGCACAATCCAAGGATGCCTGAGCTATACCTAACGCTTGTCCAGCGATTCCTATTCTACCAGCGTCTACACGAAGAATTGTGTTATATCAAATAATTATGATCAAATAATTATGATATTAAAATTTGCATAGATGATTGACGCATACCTAAAGTCGTCATCGCAATCTTGAAGCCCATTCCTGGCTGGCCAAGGATTCTATTTTGTGGTATTTGACAGTCTTCGAAAATCAAAGAACAAGTGCTACTGCCTCGTATACCTAATTTGTCTTCCTTTTTGCCTAAGCTTAAACCAGGTGTCGGACTGTCAACCAAGAACGCGCTTATACCTTTGTGCTTCTTGGACTTGTCGGTTGTCGCGAAGAGAACTATTGCACTGGCTTCAAATGCATTTGTTATCCACGCTTTGGTACCATTTAATGTATAAACGTTGCCATCCATCTTGGCAGTAGTAGATGCGGCACCAGCATCAGATCCATTGCCAGGTTCACTGAGAGCAAAACAGCCGATTTTCTCGCCATAGACAAAGGGAGTAATATATTCTTCTTTCTGCTTATCATTTCCAAACGTATCTATAGGACCCAAGTAGAGAGAATTTTGCACACTCATTATAACTCCAGCGCTCGCGCAACCTCTAGAGATTTCTTCCATGGCTATAGCATAGGCTAGATAGTCCAGTCCTGTACCGCCTAGTGCTTCAGGGACACATAAACCCATGAGACCTAGCTCACCCATTTTCTTGATTTGTTCCTTTGGGAAAAGATGCTTCTTGTCAATTTCTGTCGCGATAGGCTTTAATTCCTGTTCGGCAAAATCCCTGCGATTACAAATCTTAGTAAGCAAAGTTGGTAAATTGAATATTTGATTTTATCTAATATATTGATTATATATAATTCATGAATATGATATATTAATATTAAAACATGTGAATATAATTTGTTGTCCACTTGATACTGTAATACCTGCATGTTTTGTACAGCATCTGATGTGTGTCTGGCAACATAGAAAGCGAGGCAAAATGTCGGCTGACAATAGATGCACCTTTTGATACATTATGGATATTTGCTGCAATCGATATTCGATAATAACGTAATTAATTCCTGATATTACTCAATTAAAAAATGCACGACTCACCAAGTAATCTTAAACACTGCATTGCCATTGTTGTCTGTCGCTGACGTTCAACTGGTGGAGCCTGTGAAGCAGGTAGAAATAAACGAATGCGACTTTTTGAACTTTGACCCGAAAATACGTCACAATTGCATAATAAGATATATCTTACTGTATATTTATATCTATACTAAATTATTAAAATACTATTAATAACTGTTAGCGTGTCATCATTCAACATATTTCTCTGTATGTTTACGAGCGTAGTAAAGCTGTAAATCAGTTGCTGATCGCTGTGGAATCTACCTATCACCGGCCGATAAAGTTGATATACGGAATCAAACTTAGAGATAGAGAACACTTCAAATATGGAAGGCGACTTTAGCATCGAAACGAGGAAATTCGAACTTGAGATTACGAATAAGCAAACAACATTAATGGAACTATCAGCAAGTAAAATTAGAAATATATATCGAAAGCATATTTATATATCATGACTTAGTTGATCTCTCTGCTTTGATATTTTAGAAAAATATTGTCCTAAAATATATATAATTGCAATGGTAAAAAAAAACAATCACCTAAATTATTATTTTCGCTAAAACAATATTTAAAAATTGGTTTTTTATTCACGTCCACGCCCTTCCTTGTTGGCGTTTTGTAAAAATATAATTTCAGTAAAACCGCAGCTTTCGCACAAAAAGCTTTCTCCTAAAAACAGCGTGTAATACACGCGAAATTCATCGCTTATCAAAGCAAGAGGCGTCTATTGGGGGACTAAATAAAAAATTATGAAACCAATCTCGGTTTTCGCGCCGTCCGCGCGTCGGCGACGGTGCCGATCAATATACCGTGTGGGCAGATACAAGCGCGCGCGCGCACATTCACGGTCTTGGTTCGATAGCGACGAGCTCGTTCCTGTCCTGCCGTGAATCCTAGAATTTTGCGAGAGGAGAGCGATCGTTCTATCCTGCACATCTCAGCGGAAAATCTTAAAGAATCTGTCACGATGTCGAGCAGCAAGTGTGTGAAGCAGCCGCGTAAGACTTACACCAAAGAGCAGCATGAGATGACGCACTCCGAGAAGCTGAGGCTGATTGACGACGAGCTGAATTCCTTTTACAAGTAACGAACTATTCTCAGTATGTCTGAATGCTGGCAGATCTTTTTCGATTACTCAATCTTTTCGATATATTTTTCGTCGTGCTTTCATCACCTAACTAAAATAAAAATAAAATAAAATGAATTAGTTACATTAATCCCACGTTTGTTGAGATATAAACAGAGATATTTTTTGAGACATTTTTCGAATCAGTATTATATAGTTAATAATCGTTTCTGCAAAAAGCAGATTTCTTTATAGAGTTACAGCAATGTGACTGTTTTTTTTCTCACTGTGAGCATAGTCGCTGTATCCAAAGTTTCTTCGTAGATACTGCCAGCAGGCGGGTTTCACCGAGGAGGAGATGGACATCATTTGCCAGCCGCTCGTGGCGGCGATGCGTCGCTCATGGTTGCAGCTCGTCTTTCGCGGCACCTTGGTACTGATAGTCCTGGGTACCCTCGCATGCCTCGCGGCTCAATTAGACATTGTCGGCACACATTTCACCGCCCTCAGTCGCCTGGTGCTAATCAAGCTGTTACCGATCTGGAATTGGCAGCCGCTTTATTACGAGAATTGCATGATGAACAATCCCTTCTACAATGATTACACCATCACAGAAGAGGACTGTGTAGTACGCATCGTGTTTTCAGGATAAGAGAAACCTAAATTGTTGAAAAAAAAAAAAGATTGTGTCGTAATTTCTGAAACTGAATTAATATCTTAAGAGGAAGCAGAATACGTACTTGAGATTAACGTCCGAATAATTGGCAGAAGTCTTTCTTGCAGACCTGCGAGGCGTTGGAAACGATAGACCGTCTGTCGGACGTGCGGTATCGTAATCTGGTTGACAATTACCTGAGTCGCGACGCACCAGCCATCATCACGGATGCGATGGATTCTTGGGCGGTTATGAATACCGATTACTTCTGGTTCGACAATATTACTCATGTGAGTGTAGTAGACGAGCTTTGTCGCCTTATTATAACTGTATCACACTCAATCTCTTCAGGGATCGAGTTGAAGGAAAAAACATAGAGTTCAATAATCGAATATTGAATTATCTTGAAAGGCAGAATTGTCAAAGAATTTCTGACAGGCATCATTTTTACTAAAAAAAAAAAAAAAAAAAAAAAATGAGTGATCCTGTATGAAGGAACGCTATTTTTCGACGCAAACAGCTCTATCTGGAGAACGAACGGCTGATGGAGACTGTACCCTGCGCCCTGACCTCGAATCTGCGTACCGGCTCGTCCGACCTCGCGGCATTTCTACGACGCGTGCATGCGCCTGAAGTCGCCAAGTGGTTTGTTCACTGGCAGAACTGCGACATCAACGCCGTGAAAGTGCTCAGAAAGTACTATCAGCGACCATACTTCCTCTCCAGCACGGTCTCGCCAGCGCATTTCAACTGGGTGCTTATGTCCTCGGATTACAATAGCCCGAGCTACAAGAAGGTCGAGCTCGACTCCGGCCTGATCGCCCTCGCTCAGCTCCGTGGTGCGACTCAGCTGCGTCTCACCCCCATAAATCCCTGCAATAGTTCGTGCCCCGAGCTGATCGCCGATCTACATCAAGGCGAGATGCGTAAGTGCCATGACTAAAATGGGACCAGAGTACGGAGCACCTTTAGCGGTAAGCCGGACTGGGTGACGTTCTGAAAGGATATTAGGCTAAAATATTTTTAGTGAGTTGTACAATTGTTGAATTATTTATTAATAATATGATAACTAAAGATCTTGTTTCTTAGTTCTACCTACTAGCTAAAAGGTGTTCCGTATTTCCGGTCAAAATTGCGTGATGACAATGGGCGAACAAGGGATTGGGCTGTAATGAATTCGAATTTCCAATTAAAATCTCGCTCATTATATTAATTATCCATTTCTCGGATAATTAATCTCGCAAAACGAAGGTTAATATAGATATATATTTCTCGGTCTTATTTTATAAATCTCATAAAACTTCAATATTGTCTGACTATATTGTCAATCGTTGCAACTGAAGATATTTCCGAATTAATTGTATTTCATTCGATGCATACTGCACAATCCTCTCTATTCTTTCCATGAATTCCATTTGAATTACAGTAGCCAAATATTTTTTGATTTTTACGTGTCACTTGGGAATCAGATAAAATATTTATTTATTTATCGAAGAGACCTATCTAGAGTCGAATGATAAAATTAGCGACAGTCTCGCGAATTTCATAAAGATTTCACGATCTCGCATATCAAACTCATTCCACGTTTCTTTCCAATAATGACATCTTGTTATCGTTCGCAACGATTTTCCTTCTTGATAAATTATTCATTACATTGCCGCAGTCGTGTTCACGAATGTGATGTGGACGCTTGAGTACGCACCGATGCGCGGCCTGGATAACATCGCCATACTCACGGAAACTGTCTGGGAGGAGGACACATAGATTATAACTTGGAGATCGTTTCATCTCGGAGATCTCATCGTCACGCGAAATACCCCTAGTCCCGCAATACTCTCCGACGTGACAGCGTCGGTATATATCATTATATATATATATATATATATATATATTGTATACTCGTTCCCCATTATGATACGCACTAAATAAAAATTGAGCATTCTGGTTTCACGGTTCTGGATCAATTATTTTCCCTACAACAGAGAAGAGTGGCGTTGCCCTGTGGGCTGTCTGCGAGACAAACCGACTAACGCTGCGCGAAATCGATGCGGTGGTCCACAACGAGGTATACCAGAAGTAACAACAAACAAGATTCGTTTTTATTAATTAATCGTTTATAATAACATTGTGTGTGTGTTCTTATGGGCTCTTTTTAAGTCTCCTCTTTTTTCTCCTCTTTATATATAGCAGCTTCCTTTTTTTCCTCCTGTCTCTCTTAGCTCATCTCGATCTAACAAAGAGTAAGATCGTCACGTACCGATTCATAGAAAAAACAAAGCGCAAGATTACTGAATGACAAACGTAGCTGGCGTATCTCTCTCTTAGCATATTTAAGAGACGATGCGATATATTTCCCTTTTTTTTTTTTCGTTTATATTGAAACGTTATATAGTCGATTTGCGCTACCTCCTGCTCCCGCTTCATACATCCTCAATATCGACTTGAGAAAGAACAATAAGAGACAATAATTGGCGATTAATTAACGCCGTCCGGATAGCTTCGCAGCATCCTCCTTATTACCGTTCCTCTCGTCAGTCACTTTGATTCATTATAGCGCTCTCTCCCTCCGTCAATGAAGCTTTCCTAGTCCCCAAGACGATCCCCGTCGATCTCATTGGAGCGCCGATGTCTGTTTAAGTATTTTACCGGAGAGTCCATAAATTTTTCCGATTTCTGATTAACAAACTCCTAAAATAAATCATTCTTAGAAAGTAAAAACTATCAAATATAGTCGCCAAATTTAAGTCATGTTGACTCTCGCGAGTACAACTTTTAATTTCATTAATCGTGAAACGTTTTACTATCGGTTACTTTCAACGGTAAAAATCTTAAACGGACACTTGAACTTAAACGGACCTTCATCGACGCGTGTCGATCTGGGGGTTGTATGTCTGTGTATGTATGAGTGTGTGTGTGTGTGTGTGTGTGTGTACGTATGTGTTGTTTGTGTGAATGCGTGGAGGGCGGGCGTTATATTTATTCTATTCGACACCTAGTAGGTGAAATCAACCCAGTGCCTTACGCCTAAAAAGTATCTACGAAGACCGAAAGAAACGTCCGGAAAATGTGGAGGATCGTTGGGCGCACCTGCGTTCCTTTCAGCATTCGAGAGCTTGCTCGCTCGCTCGTTCGCTCGCTCGCTCGCTCGTTCGCTCGCTCGCTCGCTCGCTCATTCGTTAACCGATTTCATTCTCGACACCGATCGCCGCGATATCAAAAGAGCTACACGGATCGTCCCATTCAGAGGCTAAAAGTCGATAACGATGAGAATGTACAATGAGATATACAGAGGCGTGAAGCCCGATAAACGATCCCGAGGAATACGGCTCTGCGTGGACCAGTCGCAATATATCATATGGTACCGCTGAATTAAAACCGCCGATCTGTCATTGTACAGTTAATTGCGATAATCGAAGGAAAAGATTAATGTTCGCCTTCGATAGAATTTGTAACGAAGAAATTGTGAAATAGATAATAATTCGCATTCAGTCACGTAGGACATACTTGAATCATCATTAATCATTACCTATGATGAGATTAGAGGCGGTGAAGACTTAAATTTGAAAATTTAGTTTTAATTATAAATATAAGATTTTTTTTTATGCAATACGATGTAGACGATCACGATGTATTCTAACACGATGACAGATCAGAAGGCTTAAGAAGCGACACCACATCGCGAAATCCTGTCCGCGCTCGATCGTCTTGTCGCGTTTCGTTATTTTATTGTTCTCGTTAAACGATTGATCGCTATCGAATCGTTAGCGTTTGGTCTGGACCGCGCGAAGAGGATGAGCGTCGCGGTGGTGACCCGCCGAACATTTTTTTTTTTAACGCGAGATACAGATAATGAGTCCGTTCGCGTGAAAGTCATATAGGTGCGTTTTAGGGTGATCATATCTAAAAGTCTAACGATAATAAGTAAAAATGCTTACATCTCTCTCTCTCTCT